AAGCAAGTCCGTGGGAGTCTGTAGGTGCAGGAGCCATGGAGGGGTGGCCTTGTCTAGGCTGGGCAATACCCAGCCCTGCCAGCTGCAGGTAGCACCTGTACCCCTTGCCACCTGCTGAGTGAACATGGAGAGGGGGAGGTCTCTAAGTCTATGGACCTACTGATGGGAGGGCTTACTGTTCTCACCCCACCATGACAGGTGAGGCACAGAGGGGCTAAGTAACTCACACAGGGACACGCCTTTCTGGCTAGATGTCAAGCAGGCTGGCATCCTGAGCTCAGAGCTTCTGCCATCTGGGATTTCCTACTAGTTTAAAAATCCTTTTGCTGAGTCTTGGGGGCAGGACTTGGAAGTGACCTGGCTTGGTTCTTCCCACCATGATGCTCAGTGGTACTTGAGGAGCGATGGGGAGAGGAGCTCAGGCCTGTGTGGCCGTGGCCTGACCTGCCCACCCTGTCTGCCTCAGTTTTGTGATGGTCAACAGTGTGGCGCTGGAAGGGGACGGCTGCGGCATCTGTTCTGAAGTAGAGGCTGAACTCACTGAAGTCTCTCGCAGACTGAATTGCTCCAGGGAGGTAGGAGAGGTCCTCGGGCACAGGCCTGTGCTCCTGCCGCCGCTGGGCTCCCCCTTCCCTTTCTGCCGCGGGCCAGGTGTGCTGGGTTAACGGCTGACCTCTGACCAGCAGGTGCCGGGCTCCAGCCAGTGTGCGGGTGGGCAGCAGCTCCCTGCCTCCGCCCCCATCCTCCTGCAGGTGAGCTGGGGCAGTGGGAGCCGGGCTGGGCAAAGCCACCTGGGGTTCCTGAAGTTACATCCATCTCGTCTTCGGGTCCTGGCAGCACTACCCGCTGTATCGCGCCAGCGATGCCAACTGCTCTGGAGAAGATGCGGCTCCTCCGGAGGAGAGGAACATCCCTTTCCAGGAGAAGTACGACGTGCTTTCTCGGGAGGCCTCACAGAAGGTGTGCCAGTGGGTGGACCCCATGTCAGGGTGGCCCTGCTTTCCTACCCCGTGCATCGTGGCTAGTCAGGGGTGGGAGGCGCCCGGGTAGGGGCGGGGGCACAGGACCGGGGGCCCCTGGAGGACTAGGCAGTCCCTTTCTCCTTTCTCCATTTGGGAACATTGTAAAATTCTCGGCTATTGTTTGCAGTCATTCTCATAAACTTAAATGGATTTTGGAGTGTAAAGGGCACTTAGAGTCAAAATTTTAGGATCTTAATTAAAAATGCACTTTCTTAAATATATATAACAAATATAGACATAAATAGCATTTATAGATAATGAAATATAAGATTCATATTTATACTTGAAAGTGAATGAATTTCTATTTAAAATATATTTATGGAAAATATGAAATAAATTGGTAAAAATGTTTATAAAAATAAAACATGTAAAGTCTGGGGTGAGAAGAGTAGAGTCTAGGAGGCTGGGTATTAACAAGCCTTACTTTTTATAAACAAGATTATTTTTGGAGGAGAAAATAAGCCTATCCTCTGTAGCAACTGGGTGTTTAGCTCAGTATATGGTGGCCCCGGGCGGGGGCGGGGTCCACGCGGAGTAAGCGCTAACTGTCTGTCCCCTGGGTCCAGCTGCTGTGGTGGTTCCGTCCACGCCTGATCCTGAGTGGCCACACGCACAGCGCCTGTGAGGTGCTGCACCGCGGGGGCGTCCCCGAGATCAGTGTCCCGTCTTTCAGCTGGCGGAACAGAAACAACCCCAGTTTCATCATGGTAACGTGAAAGTTTATTTTCATCTGAAAGCTTTCATAGGTATATAAGTCAACACAGTAATCAACTATTTAATTGCTGCAATCTGTAAGAAGGTACAAAAGCCAGAAATCAGTGAGCCTCCTACACACCATGGTGTGTCACTCTCCCGTGTCCCAGCAGCTGCGTGGGAACAGATGAGCAGAGCTGGGTCCTGGGGCAGTTACCGCAAGCAGCATCTCCTGGGTGTGCCTTGCCCCGTGCAGAGGGCAGTGTCTGCCCATGTCACACTCTGAGTGGAGGCAAGATCATATCACTTGTCACCAACACTCGATTGTCTCATTCTGCAAACGCACTCGTTTGCCCCAGCAGACAGTGCTGCCGTGGCTGATGGACAGTGTTGGTCCATCAGTGACGGCTGGAGCGACCACACCCTGCTTTTGGTCATGGGATCCTGCGCCTGGCTCACGGATGCTTTTGTGGCAGGTGCTTTACTTCAAGAAAGGTGGGGGACCCTCGTATTGTCAAATTCCCAGTGTATGAAAACGTTCTCCACTGTCCTTCCACACTGTGCACTCGCAACCAGGGGAAGCCCGTGGGGGCCGGGATGTGACTCAGGGGCGGAGCGCCGGCCTGGCATGACAAGGCCCTGGCTTCCATCCCTAGCACCGCAAAAACAGAGAGTAGCCTGTGGACAGGTGTGGGCATGCGTGTGTGGGCATGGAGTGGCATGAGAACACCCTTATCTGCCTGTTCCTCGCTGACCATTGCTCCCTGGTCTCTGACACGCTCTGAATCTCTGTCAGGAGCTCCCCACTCTTTGGTGGGAGCCCCCAGCGCCGGGGTGAGCGCGAATGGCGAGATCCATCCGCATCGCAGTCCCCTCCCCCAGGCACGCCTGCCTCACCTCCTCTTGCCAGTGCCTGTGTGGGCAGGTGGAGGCAGCGCAGGCCGAAGGCCCTGATCACTTGGTCTCGGGTGGGAGGGCTGCCCCAGCCTCACCGAGGGACCCCTTCAGGGCAGACTTTCCTCTGGCGCTCAGTCGGGCTGCTGTGCTAGTCCTCTGCGAAAGAGTACCTTCCTGTTTCTTTCCCAGGGCAGCTTCACGCCCAGAGACCATGCCCTCTCCAAGTGCTTCCTCCCGCTGGAGGGCACAGTTCTGAGCACGTACTGCGCAGCCGCAGGGCTCCTGGTGGTCCTCACCTTCGCCCGCCTGGAGTGCCTAGCCTCGCCTTTCCTTTCCGTTTGGACCCTGCTCAGAATGCACATGGCCCGGTGAAGAGCGGTGCTGGCTGTGTGCCATAGCGAGTGCCAAGCCAAAGACCCGGCTCCTGCAGGACTCATGGGGCTCAGGCCAGCCAGGCTGGCTATGGGGCCTGCGCACGTCAGGGGAGGGCTGAACCTCTGAGGAGTGACTGTGGAATAAACCGCTGATGGTCCTCATGCGATAAAAATGGAACACGTACTCTATAACAGCCTGCTTACCCAACGTACGTGCGATCGGAGGTGGCATCTGCCCAGCACAGAGGTGCCCGATACCACTCCTTGCATGATGCACCACCCTGCTCCCTAGGAAGCACCCGCGCCCTGGTGCACGCTCAGGCTGACACGGGCACATGCACGTTGAGTGTGCTTCTGTCCTTCTGTGAAGTGGCTCTCAAATTCCTACGTCCTATGAAGCCCTACACTTAGAACTACAGATGCGATGTGTGGGGGCACATGGTTGATTCTTACAGACTTCTGTACTTCTATGGGAAACTAATAGAATCAGTTTTAGGTGAGTAGATTTTCTGTCTAGGAGACCATGTTCTTACATCTGAATTCAATGCCTGTTAATGATCAAAAATTGAAAAAAATGGAATGCTGATATATGGCTGTTAGTATTAAAAATGAATATTTTGATAATTTCAAGTCAGATGTCATGTCTCCTTGTTTTTGTTTCCTAAGAGTCTGGCTCTGTTTTTTAATCCAGCTTTTGTTTGTTTATTTGAGGTGGTGCTGGGGACTGCACCCTGAGCCACACCCCGGCCCTCTCCAGTTCCTAAGTCATACTTGGTCAGGGGAGTTGCCTAGTGGTAAGGAGTTGTAGAGTTGTAAGGAGAGGACAGCCTTCTACAGCTTTACTTGTTTTTGGTGGATGTGTATCTCTTCAGTTTTCTTCCTCCCCTGTGAAAGCAGAAGGGGACCTGAGACCATCTCCATTTCAGTTCCACTGCGTCTTAGGCCACCGTCGGGAATCAGATGGGGATGATGAGATAGACAGCCTATTTGGGAAGCTGTCATGGTCCATGGGAAGTGACATCTAAATCTGGTTGAATTCCTACATGATCATAGAATGCTGATCCACAGAGTGTACTTGAATATATTAAAGACTAAAAGAAAAATAATGAACTGACATAGGCTGTCCCTTCTCTGGACCTGTACTGTTGAAAGTTCAGTTCTGGACATCTTTACAGATTGTTGTAGGACGACCGAGAAAACCAAACCTGTGGCTGTGGATGGAACTGAAGCACCATTCCCGCAGCGATTGAGCCTTCTTAGGGGTCGTGCCAGGATGTAGCTCGTGAGGCTGCATTTGAGAGTCTTGCACAACAGCCATACGTTCTGCCTTCATATTTCAAATAAAGGTTCTGTGGGGTGGGGTGTAGCTTAGTGGGAGAGCACCTGCCTGGCAGGACAAGGTCCCGGCTTCCATCCCCAGCATTGCAAATAAAAATGATTTAAAAAAAAGATTTTATAATGTTTCATCTTCACAAGACAAATGAAGATGCAACCCTTTTCCTCCTCATCTGGACGCAAACACAGATTCCACTTTGCTTTTCTCTTGTTATCTGTTTACTCGCCTGGTGGAGTCTATGCCCAAAGCTTTGGCTATGGGGATGGTGGTCCTGTTCCTACCTGGGGAACTTGAAGGAGTCTTTAACTAGCAAAGTAATCAAAAAACATTGACTGGGAAGGAAAAATAAATCCCTAGCTCTTGGAAAGATGATGTTGTGATCTGTACCCCGGAAGGGAGTTCAGGATTTTGCAACTGAGACCCAGAGAAGCACAGGCAGGTGGCTGAGGCAGTGTTGGGACGTTGTTGTTGTTGTTGAGGATGACATATAATTCACAATTTCTTGGAACCAAGGGATATCTTACAAAGTCCCAGGCTGATGAGAATGTTGCCAAAGCTACAGATACCATTCGTTCCCTCTTATGGAGGAAGCGGCAGGTCAGGATGACATCAGGCTGATCAGCACGACTGAAACACAGGTCCTTTACAGGGAGAACCATCATCCAAGGCACAAAAATCTACAAGGAGTTTTCTTTAGTAGTGATACAAAAGAATATTACATTTTATGGTCTGTACAATGTAATAAACCATCAATAAACCAACAGTGAAAGGAATATATGAAAGAAGACTCCACCCAAATATAGTGAAAGCATAAGGGATCTTTTTTCCAGACAGGACAGATTTTCTAATAGTGAATGTGGCAGGTGTTCTGCCTAAATGCCAAAGGCTCAGAGGAGCTCTAATTCAAGTGCCTGAGGCTGGCAGCAAGGGCAAAGGAGACTGAAAAAGGGCTTCTCAGCTGGGTGTGATGGAGGCCGAGGCCGGAGGATCGCAAGTTCAAGGCCAGCCTCAGCAACTTAGTGAGACCCTGTCTCAGAATTAAAAAAAAAAATAAAGAGAGCTGGGGGTGTAGCTCAGTGATAGAGCACCCCTGGAATCAATCAATCCCTAGTACTGCCAAAAAAGAAAAAAAAAATCTCTGCTTGGTTGCTCAGGGTCTCCTCCATGCCTTGGGCCAGCCACCTGCTGGCCTTCCTCAAGGGAAATCAGAGGCCCCTGGCTCCCGGCACTTTGCATATGCCTTTGCAATCACGCTGAATAACTTGAAGAAGGAGAAAAAAAAAAAAGCACTTTCTCCATCTACCTACAGGGTCTTGGTGAGTCAGTCGACAAGTGTGTGACAGGGGTCCCCACCCAGAGAGGGCTCCCTGCAGCATCGATGGGTGAGTGGGAGGTTCTGCAGCAATGCAAATCTGGGGGGTGGAGGTTGTGTTCAGTGAAAACCAAGCAACAGAACTAAACCTGGGGGGTGGAGGTAGCCAGAGGCTTGGTGGGGCACACCCAGGGCAGGACAGACAGCAGCCAGAGGGGACTAGACACTCACTACACCCTACCATGGCTTGGGTGGATGAACACGCAGTCTGGCCACTCGTTGGGGTGGCGAGAGGGATGGGGGCAGCGGAGGGACGGGGACAGTGGGCCTCACAAGAGTTCATACTGCTTGAGGTGCATCCTCTGGATGATGTCACGGCAGTCGTTGAAGACCCTGCGGATGTTCTCTGTGTCCACGGCGCAGGTGAAGTGCGGGTAGCAGTAGTGCTTGCCATCCCCAGTGGCTGTGCTGATCCTCTGCAAGAGAGAGCCAGGGCTGAGGGCCGGGTGGGTCCATGCACTTGGGGGGCGGGTCGGGAGCACCTGGCAGGAGGTACCTGGACAACTTGCAGCTTACCTCTGCCCACAGGTGATCCCTGCTGAGCTGGAGAGACAGCACACAGGTGCTGGCCAGCCTCAGGAGAGGCAGGCTAAGGTTTCCAGAAATGGGCACCTAAGCATGGTGTGCTGGAACACGCATCACGTTCTCCTCTGTCCTGTCTACTGCTCACGGTGCAACCCAGGGACTGGCCTTAGCTGACGTAGTTTTAATAAGCTTATTAAACATCTGGTGTGACTGGCGGTCCAGCAGTGGGCAACGCACTGGTCACCGGGACTCCTGCTCCCAGATGGTCTTCAGCACTTGCTGAGGGTGCCCTGGGCTGGCAGTGGAATGTCTCCTGGCAGTCTAGGAGCACAGCACCCTGTTGTCCAGTAACTTGGGGGATGCAGGTTAAAGATCCCTGATCATGATGCCTGAGGAGGTCCTAGAGTGACAGGCGCATGCACACTCTGAAGCTGCATGGGTGAGAAATGGGCTGTGGCTGAATCTTAAGTCTGAACCGGCACAACTGATGTGCTCCCAAGAAGAGATTCGGACACAGACACAGGGAGTCCACAATGAGGAGGAGGTGGCCGGCTGCAAGCCAGGCAGAGAGGCCTCAGGAGGAAGCAGGGGGACTTCAAAGCTCTGGCCTCCAGCAGTGTTTGGAGACCTGCTGTTCAGGCTCTGGCAGCCCAGGACTGCTGGGACTCCTCGGGAATCCCTGCGCCTCCTGCCCCTCCCCTATCTTAATGAAAGGATCTGCAGGCTCTGTGACTCCTCCAGTGGGTGGGTGGGTGGGGTGGGGTTAGACTAAATTTGAGCACAAGTCTGGCTTCTCTTGACCTTTTTTTTGTTTTTTTTAATGTGCCGGGAGTGGAACTAGTGCCTTACCAATGAGCTACACCCACAGCCCCTATTTTTCATTTTTAAACTTGGGAACACCAAAACCAAGGAAGTTGTGTGTGTTTGTGTCTGTGTGTGCATGTGGGCAGTACTGGGGATTGAATCCACTCTGCCTCTGGGCCACATCCCCAGCCTTTTTAAACAATTTTTACTTTGAGACAGGGTCTGCCTAAGTTGCTGAGGCTGGCCTCCCACGTGCCATCTGCCTGCCTGTCTCCCCAGCCACCTGGATGACAGGTGTGCACCACCACATCTAGCTGGTTAAATATCCTTTGTGCTCTAAAGCACCAGGTGAGCTATGGGTGCACACAGCATAAGTGCACCGAGAACAAATCAAAAGAAGGCTGTTTTCTGTAACCACCAGACTAGCTGGTCCTGTCCCAGGGCAATAAAAAAACTGGGGTAAGGAGACATTACAAAGGTTGTTGCAACTTGCAGATCTCGCACAGTTCTCCTTGCAGCACACCTCCTTTGATCACTGGCTTTCACTAAGCACGAGGGTGGTAACTGGTCAAGGAGAACTGGCAGTCCCCGGCTCTCTGCAGGCCTGGGGCCCTCTCTTAGGAGACGGTGGTCAAGGTGAAGGAAGGCTCAGGGGAGCTGGTGAAGCACCAGGCAGTCACCTAGGAGGCAGGAAGACTGCCATGGTGCTGGGGTGCCAGGATGCAGCTGTCCACCCCACAGTCACCATCTTAGCTGGACCACTGGGAGGCCAGTCCAGCTCTGACTTGGCGCTCCCAGCTGGTTTCCAGTCTGAGGGACAGGATTGTTCCCAGTGACGGGCAGGACCCTGGGGGACACCTGCCTCTCCCACTCCTGGCTCCCCCAGCTCCAAGTTCTTCCTGCCTGTAGAGATGGTTCCACCTGACCCTATGGGAGGAAGGGCCTTGTCGGAGACTCACCCTGGTGGTCAGTACCCTCCTTAGGCAATGACTGTAAAGTGCATCTAAGGAGGATGCTCACTGGGCGCACAGCTGGCTCTCAAAGTGGACTTCCTGCCACTAAGCCCCTTGCTCCTCTGCCCTTCCCAGAGGACTTCTAGTAGGACTAGAAGTTTATGGTTCATTGGGCCTTAGAACCTAAGGCTGCCAGTCGAAGCTGATTTTTTTTGGGCGGGGGGAACAAGTACTGGGAATTGAACTCAGGGGCACTCAACCACTGAGCCACATCCCAAGCCCTATTTCGAATTTTTTTTTCGAGACAGGGTCTTCACTGAGTTGCTTAGTGCCTCACTTTTGCTGAGGTCAGCTTTGAACTCATGATCCTCCTGCCTCAGCCTCCTGAGTCATTGGGATTTCAGGCGTGAGCCACTGCACCCGGCTAGGTTTTTTCCCTTTCCAAGGAAGGAAAGGTTTGTCCAGACAAGGTCTGAATGCCCCTTATTTGGGGGATGGCGTAGTTTGTCTTTGGCACTGTGGATAGAACACAGAGCCTGCTAGGCCCATGCTCTGCCCCTGAGCATCAACCCTGCCATTTAAAATGTTTTTTAAAATTCTGAGACAGGGTCTCACTAAGTTCCTGAGGCTGGCCTCGAGCATGCCGCACTCCTGCCTCTGCCTCCCAAGTAGCTGAATTACAAGTGTGTACCACCCCACCTGGCTTTTATAACCTTCATCTCAATGCCCGACATTTTCATACTTAATTAACATTTAATTCTGATTAGAGTAGTGTTTCATGGGGCACTTTCTAATGTGTCTTATATTTTGAGGTCTTACAAGGTGCTCCTCAAACAAAGAATCCCTGGATCTGCTAGGAACTGAATTCTCTTATTGAAGATGTTTCCAGAATGTCCCCGTGTAGGGAGGCTCTGGGAATCTGACCACCAAACACCTGCTGTGGATTCAGAGCAGCAGCAGGCCCCAGATTTATGTACTTGCAGAAGGTTTTCTGGTACCGCCTGTTCACTTCCTGGAGAACTCTTCATCTCTCCGGGCATGGATTTCTTACGATCCTTACTTTCTAAATCAGTGTAGGGCTCAAAAGGCAACCTGCCCTTGGGGTGTGATGGCAAGGGGGGCAGGCAGGAGAGCTGAACCATGGCCCAAGGGCCACTCCTGCGCTGGCTGGGCTAAGAAACTGACTTGTCCAAGAGACAAGGTCCACTGCACCTGTCATGTGCACCTGCAGTCTCACCAGGAACATGCCCTTGGCATTCCTTGTGAGTCACTAGTTCCAAGCCAGGGAAAACTCACAGCCAGCTGTAGGTTATTCAAGAGAGAGAGAGAAAAAAATGTAGACATATATACATAGAAACAGCAAATTCGGCAAAAATTTTATCAATCTGGGGTCAATTTGCATAGAGTAGATGGGAATTATTTGCATTTTTTCCATGTTTTATGTAAATCTGCAAGGATCTCAAAGAGTTGAAGATGAAGAAAAAAGAAAATATCTTAATTTGAGCGGGTCCATTTTTATGTTAAATTTTTCCTGTTATTGCTTTTGGAAGTGAGGTACCAAAGTATGAGAGCTGGAGTCGCAGCCTGTGCAGGAGAGTTCTGTTCTTTTCAGAAAGCACAAGTGAGTACTGTGTTACCCTGGTGAGAAACCTGACCTCTCTGATTCTCAGTGTGTGCCGCCGTGAAGGGAGCGAACACACCTTCTCTCGTGGCTCATGATTTTTGGGAAGACTCAGTGAGATCATGAAAGGCTAAGGAATCTGTGAATTATAAGGAACAACGTAACTTAGAAAATACTGCTTACCAAAAACAAGTCCCGGATAAAGAACTTGGCTCTTGTGACTTTGGGGTCTTCTCCTGCATCTGGTGTCGCTGCGGAAATTAAGAATGGAGATTTAAGTGGTGAAAGAGACAAGTGTGTGGAAACAAAGGAGGAATGGAGCTGGGCTGCCCTGGTTACCGCGTCCACCACGCCAACAGAAGGCTCTTTCCTTCTCCCCCAGATCATTGACATGTCGTTCTTGGGCCTCTGACAAGGCATTCTTTGGCAGGGCTGTGGCCTGAAAGTGTGTGTCCCTCCCAAGTTCTCTCAAAGCTCAAAAGGTCGGTCCTTTGGAAGGCCATTAGGTCAGGTGGGCTCAAGACCCAGGGAGGTTGGGCACACCTTCCACTGTGTGAGGATGCAGTCAGAGGTACCATCTGTGAAGCAGAGACCCCAAATCTGCTGCTTCCCAGCCTCCAGTACAGGGAGCAAGAAATTCCTGATGTTTATAAACCACACAGTCTCAGGTATCTTGTCATAGCAGCCAAAATGGGCTGAGGGAGGTAGATACTCTCCACTCAGATAAAACGGGCGCACCTCCGTGCATGCTGACCACAGCTCCAGAGCCGGCTCTGCCCGCAGGCCTGCTCGGACAGGAAGACTGGCAGCCCTGGGCCTTCTGGGGCGAGGGTTGGCACTGGCTGCTGGTGTGACTGCAGCTGGCTTCCATCAGCCCTGCTCTGAGGGGTGGAGGGAGGGGGGCTACAGCGGGCACTCTGGCCCCAGGTCCTCCTGAAACGGTCTGTGGTCCTGGGACTGGTCCCACATTTTCTGCACTCGGGATATCTGTTCTCCTGCGACTCGGGCTGCACAGGTGGGCTCACCACTCTGCCTTCTCTACTGAGGGTCCGTGAGGACATGGCCACTCTCCTGGGAGTGGGATGGCAGGCCTGCTCTCCAGACCAGCCAGGCTTGGCTGGAGGGAGGGCTGGGCAGGCCATGTCGGTGTAGCAGGCAGAGAGGGCAGCACCCCCTGCTCTCAGCCCAGCTGTGTGGGGCATCACTGAGAGCTTCCAATCCCACGTGACCCTAGGCACTGGGGATGTAGCATGGAGGAGCACTGCCCAGCTGGTTGGATGCGCAGAAGGAAACCCTCCCTATGTCTGTGGCCCTCGTGCGCCTGCAGACACTCTATTCCTTCTCATGGCCACAGTTGAGGCCGAGGAGGAGGACGCGAGCCAGGCCACCATCGGGTGCACGGATGCCAGGGACAAGTGGGTGCCCTGGGAGGTCCAGGGGGATGTGACGCAGTGCCCAGGTGTGGCTGTCACTGGGCCTGAGCCACTGGCCCTGTCCATCCCCTGGCTGGGGCGGGTTGGCCCTGGCTTGCAATGCAGTTAAGCCAGTGGCCACGGTGCCCCTTAGAGCGAGCGTAAGTGTGGTGGTGGTGGGGATTAAAGGAAGATGGCTTGGCAGAATTTCAGAGAATGTTCTGGAAGGATACAGGAGGCCAGGGAAGAAGCTGTGGCAGTCTCTGAGACAAGGAGAGTGAGGACCTGGACCGAGGACGTGAGGGCAGAAGGAAGGAAGAAGCTGATGTGGAGGTGGCTCTACAGAGCTCGGCCACCTCCGAGATCCGGGAGGCCAGGGCTGGAGGTGGGTGGCACCAGGAGAGGTGAAGGCCTAGCTGGCTGGGAGGGGGGCAAGGCCAGCAGTACGGGGCACCAGCAGCCCCGTGGGTCCCCTGAGGCAGGCAGCCTGGCCCGCTGTGAGCTTTAGCAAGGAGAGGAGGAATGCCCCGCAGGCCAAGGTCCCAGGCCACTTCCAGGGCTGTTCACCCTGCAAGGAACCCTCGAGCTCCTGCCCTTGGCCAGCACATCCAGGGTGGTTCAGGTCTTGCTCTGACTGTGCTAGTCAGGGGCTCTGCCATTATGGGGAAGAGAAAATTGAACACAAAGAGCAGGAAAGTTAATTACAAATCCCAAATTTCCTTCCCCTCTTCACTGATGATAGAAAATAAATCCCCCAAACCTGAGCTGGTCTGCAGGAGAGTCCCTTTCATTTGGCTTCATCTAATTTGGGCTTCAGATGTTGAGAAATGATGTCATTCTGCCTGTGACAAATCACCCGGGTGCTTGCTGACCCTGAAGCACAGTGACCAGCCCTTCCTAGTGACCTTCCTGCCTGGATGCTCAGCCCTGCCAGCTCAGGTGGACGGATGGTCCCCCCAGGGGAACTCGATGGGCGTAGCCAAGGGCAGCACAGGGAGGCTGGCAGAGCCGGCTGTGGACCAGGGTTCAAGGAGTGTGCTGCCCACACAGGCCCCCGGTGTGTGGCCTTGAGCAAGCTGCCACCTCTGTCAGCCTTACATTCCGTGGTAAAATAATAGGAAGCACCACCTCAGCTCCCAGGAAGGAGGAAGGCTCCCAGCCACACAGACCCCAAGAGGGGCCCAGAGGCAGAACTTACTCAGCCAGTGACACATTCATACCCCCCCACAATGGTCCTTTCTTCTTTTTGTTGGGGGCGGGTACTGGAGATTGAACTCAGGAGCACTCAACCACCGAGCCACACCCCCAGCCCTATTTTGTATTTTATTTAAAGACAGGGTCTCACTGAGTTGCTTAGGGCCTCGCCATTGCTGAGGCTGGCTTTGAACTTGTGATCCTCCCGCCTCAGCCTCCCAAGCCACTGGGATAACAGGCTGCACCACTGCCCAATGGCCCTTCCCTGTGTTGCACGGGAGTGTGAACCATTTACAAGTGGATCCTAAGCCAGACACTGTAATACAGGTCAAGCGTCCTGAGATGCCCCAAACCTGAAGCTTTTTGAGCATCAACATGACACAAGTGGAGTATTACACATCTGACCTCAAGTGACAGTAACAGCCAGAACACAGGTGTGCTACAAACCTGCAACCTCACCTCAATCCACGGTGTAAGGTGGACATGAAGCAATGAGTTCCACGGTCAGACCCGGGCCCATCTCATTATGGAGGTGCAAACATCCCCAAATCATAAAGCCCCTGTGGTCTGAAGCACCTCTGTCCTGTCCCTGGGTAAGGGTGCTGAGCCTGTGTGCCAGCACTTCAGATGGCGCTAGAGGAGAGGGCTGATGGGGACTGGTGGACGTCTTAGTTCAGGAGGTGTTTGAATGACTGGACCAGAGAAGTCGTCACTCTTCCGTCCAAGGACCTGCTGGAGCCTTACCATCTTCGGGGACGGTGTAGTTGGCGTACTCTGGGAAATAGTCTTCGATCTTCGATTTCCCCGCTAGGACTTTTTCTGCCAGCATGTCCTGTTTGTTCAGGAACAGGATGATGGAGATGGTCCGCAGCCACCTGGAGAGCAAGAGACACAGACTTCACCTGTGCTGGGTGAGAAAGCTCCGGACAGGGCTGTCGCTCAGAGACAGAGCGCTCGCCCGGCACAGGCCAGCCCTGGGGTCACCCCAACATTAAAAAACATTTTGTCTTCCTGGAAATGTACAGGACTCATTTTTTTAAAATTTACTTATTAATTTTTTTGGTACTGGAGTTTGAACCTGGGACACTTGACCACTGAGCCACATCCCCAGTCCCTTTTTTATTTTGAGACAGGGTCTTGTTAAGTTGCCCAGGCTGGCCTGGAACTCGCAATCCTCCTGCCTCAGTCTCCTGAGTCGCTGGGATGACAGGGGTGTGCCACCGTGCCCAGTGATGTTCAGGAGCTACAACTGTTTGGTACACCAGTACCTCCTTCCATCTGCAAGCCATGATAAACACTGGGAGTTAGTGGAGCAGTTCAGCATTTTCGAATTCAGCTTCACTAGGGACATAAATCTACTGGTACCAAAGCCAAGATTCATTCATTAAACAGAGACAGTAGGATTTCTGAGGTGTAATTTACTAATAAAGGGTCAGAAGACTCACACTGGAAGAATCGTTAACAACAGCAACAACAATATATCACGACTCATTAGCTCAAGGCAGAACCTGATGTGCCCCTCACTGGGTCTCCTCTACACCCAGCCTCTGGAGCAGTGGCCTTCCTGGGGCCAGGATGTCCATCAGATCTGACTCCCTGCATCTCTACCACCAGCTCAGTACAGGGCGGGGACATCTGGAGGGGTCTGTTCTCTCCGCCTCATGAAACAGGAACTGAGAACTGGCTCACAAAGAGTCTAGCAAAGCAAGGAATCAGTACCGCCTTGGGGGCCCTTGCTTCCGAGCCGGCTAGTCAGCCCACAGTCATCTATTCTAAACTAAAGCACAGGCCAGGCATGTGGTGCAGCCCGCAACCCCCACCACTTGGGAGGCTGAGGCCTGAGGATTCAAATTTGGGGCAAGGCTCAGCTATTCATCTAGACCCTATCTTGGAATAAAATTTTTTTTAAAAGGCCTGGGGATATAGCTCAGTGGTAAAGCACCCCTCCACCCCCAGGAGGGGGGGCAGTCCCCAGGACCACACACACACACACACACACACACACACACAACAAAATCCCCAACCACTTCCACCACAAATGGAAATGGTGTATAGCTTCTTCCAGTTATAAACTACATAAGCTTTATAAAAAGGTCATTTTGAGAGTATTTTTCTATTATCTTAGATTAGCCTTAATTAAGATAATAACTTATCATCTTAAATTACAGAAAAATATTCAGAAAAAACTCAAATGTAATTACACCAGAGAAAATTACTATTAAACTGATCATGTTTTTACACCCAGGTTTTTCTTCTACTCTCACATATATTTATAAAATAAGAACATTTTTTTCAAAACCACTTATTTTTGTTGTCTAGGGTGCTGAGGGGGGCACCCTGTGCATGCCTGGCCAGTGCTCTGTCTCTCCGCTGGTCCTGTGCCTGCTCAAACTGCAGCATTGTGTCCTTCCTCCCGGGGGTGAGCAGCGGTGAACTTACAGCCACTCCAAAGCAGAGGCAGGGTTGGCATTTAGTGGCCCGATTTCTTTCCCATTAACTTCTTAGACCACAAAACTGAAGACAGTGTTGGACGCTTGATAGGGATACTTTTCCAATGATCCAAGCCTTTTGCAGGGCTAACTTATATTCCCTGGGCTCCTTGGAGACACATCTCAATGCCATGTGAGTAAGCAGTGCCTGTGTGCTGGCACCTCAGCCACAATCACCTCGGCCACTCTGCAGTTGGTAGAATCAGCCTGGCTGCGGCTGTGGTTTTGAGATGCAAGGGCTCTTAGAGACCCTCAGTTACCTGTAGGTGCCTTTTTTTTTAACTGGGGATCGAACCCAGGGGTGCTCTACCACTAACTACACCCCCAGCTCGTTTTATTTATTTTGAGACAGAGTCTCCCTAAGTTGCTGAGCCTGGCCTCGAACTTGCCATCATCCTCCTGCCTCAGCCTCCTGAGCCACTGAGATTACCATCACCACACCCTGCAAGTGGCCAGCAAATGTTCTAAGCTGGATTCCTAAAATTTAAGCATAGAACAAGATCAATTTTAAACCCCAGATGTAATCTCAGGATTTCAAAACAGGTCTGAAATGTCTTGACAAAGCACATTCTGTTTCATTAGAGCACTTCCCTCATCGTCCACACACTAGGTGGGCGAGGGAGGCCCTTCTTATGATGGCTCAGGGTCCATCAGTGAGGACAGAGTATGTTTCTGGGGGAACAAACATGAACGCATTCTTCATAAGAGAAGACATGCAGTCCCGTGTGAGACTGCGTGGCCCCCGCGTGACCTGTTGTTCCAGATGCTTTCAAACAGGTCCAGGGACTCTCGGAGCCGGTTGGTGTTGTTGTCCTCCCGGATCACCATGTTGTAGCTGCTGCAGGCCGCCACGTAGATGATGGCTGTGACGTCTACATGGGGAACAGAGGAAAGGGAAGCCTGTGGTCAGACAGAGGCAGTGGCCGTGGGGTCAGGGTCAAGCACGCGCCTGGTAGCAGCTCAGGCCAGGGGCACGGCCGTCCACTGACCACTGCAGGCGTGGTGTGTCTGGTGTCAGTGCACACCTCACGGGTTGCCCCAAAGAGAGGTCACTTTGGGATGCTTAAGTTCTTTGTGAGATTTGTGTTTCAAGAAGAAGCACAATGATCTGATAAAAAATGCTGCAGTTTGGCTGGGCACATCGGTGCCCGCCTGCCCCAGAGGCTCTGGAGGCTGAGGCAGGAGGATGGCAAGTTCAAAGCCAGCCTCAGCAACTTAGGGAGGCCCTAAGCAACTCAGTGAGGCCCTGTCTGTAAATAAAATATAAAAGAGGGCTGGGGATGGGGCTCAGTGGTTGAGTGCCCCTGAGTTCAATCCCTGGTACCAAAAAAAAAAAAAAAAGCAGTAGTTTGCATCCTAGGTAGGGGAGGATATCCCAATCAACAGCAGTCACACCCGGGCTTGCTGAGCTGGCCCTCTACCGGGTCCTGAGGGTGCATGAAAATCACCGTTGAAACACTGGATCCATTTCCTTCTCTCGTCCCTCTGGCCACCGACGTCGAACATGCTGTGGGGAGCAAGGGGAGACTGTTGGGGCAGCAGGAACCCGGGCGTGCCCACCTTCCTCCTCTGCTGTCAGAATGTCCCTGTTCAACGCTGCATCTGCCTCATCAGGGCCACGCGTGGGGCTGCCAGCTCTGTCCCTCCTCTGTGGCCCTGCACAGTGGAGGCTCAGGGAGGGCTCAGATAGGCAGCAGCCTGCAGTGTGCAGGGGCACACAGTAGGTGCCTTATAAATGCAGTGGTTTCTAGTTCACACCACATCCTGCGCAGACTTTGGGGCCTCTCTGAGTACGTGCCAAGTGCCCACCCAGGGCAGCTCAGGTGACCTGTCCTGGCTCTCAGACATGGTATCTCTCCTCCCCTGGACAAGGGAGAAAGGCTCCCTGCCCTCCCAGCTGTGTCTATGTCCCTCTGGGACACTGCAGGCCTCTTCCTGGGCCTGCAGTGGGTCTGGTCCCCTCCTGCATCAGTCCAGATCCCTGGGCTGCCCAGGTCTCCCTCGGGGGCCTCCCCTGCAGCTCTCCAGGCAGCATCCGCCCCTCCCCAGCATCTCTCCTGCAGCACCCCTCCTCCACACCCCCCAGGCTCCTGGCTAAGCCAGACTTGGGCTTTGGGACCACGCAGTCTGTACCAGCTGGCCCAGCAGGCTCATCAGCCATCCTACAGATTTTAACCTGCTTTGCCTTAGCACGTGCCAAGCTGCTTGATGAGCAGCCAAGCCGCAGAGCAGAACACTGTTCAGCAAACCCTGCTGCAGTGGGACGTCTCCTTGTTAGTAAGTCCCCATGCCCGGGACCTGCTGCGGTGTGGGTCACTCCATAACTGTACAGCTCTGACCACAGCGTGGACCTAGCCGGGCTTTATCCAGGCCACACGGCCTGACCATGTCCTGCTGGGTTCTCAAGAAACGCAGAGGAAGTACACATGCCTGCCCGTGGAAAGTTCTGGGCCTCGTGGGAGTCCCGCTCAGGGCCCTCACTACTGACTCGCCACGGAGGTGATGTGGGCAGGGGACAGGAGCATGTTCTCAAGTGCTGAGCCGCACAGCAGATGTAGCAGAAGCTCCAAGGAGCCCGTGCGCTGGGATTTGAAGGCTGCTTTGATGGATCTGTAGGGTTTGCTTAGCCAGGCAGCATCCAGGGCTTGGAGGACTGGGTGAGCGAAGGCACTGTGGCAGGGGAGCTGGGTGAACTTTGAGGACAGTGACCTGGTACAACCTGGTGAGGCAGAAGACTGGCCAGGCCTATCCGGATGGTCTGGGTGGGAAATATGGGGGGACTAGGATGGGCAGTGCAAAGGGCTTTGTGGATGGAGAATCAACTGAGGGTCTCAAGGGAGGAAAACAAAGAAATAGGTTCATTCAGTGAAGTTTGTGCATGGACAGCCGGAAGAGCCCCCCCCGGGGTGTGGACAGGGGGAAAAGCCCCCAATGGGGGTGGACAGGGGGAAGAGCCCCCCCACCCCAGGAGGGCAGACAGGGGGAAGAGTGGACAGGGAGAAGTGCCCTTCAGGGGAATGGACAGGGGGAAGAGCCCCTCCCCCCAGGGGTGTGGACAGTGGGAAGAACCTCCAAGGGGGGTGAACAGGGGGAAGTGCCCTTCAGGGGAGTGGACAGGGGGAAGAGCCCCCGCAGGGGGGAGGACAGGGGGAAGAGCCCCTCAGCAGGATGGACAGCAGAAAGTGTCCTCCCAGTCAGGGGGACAGGGGGAAATGCTCCTCAGGGGGTGGTACAAAAGAGATTGCTGGCTTCAGTTCTCAAACTCCTGATTTAATCCAAGGGCCAGTCAAACCTGTGACCAGGGTGAAATGTCACTTTCCTTGAGGGGAACACTTCATAATACTACTACTTGAAAGTGGGTGGTAAAATGCAAGATTTCAACCCTTGCTCGAGATCAGATTTCACCCAACAGCCTCACCTGAAAGGATCAGTCTCCTTCAGGCCCCTCCAGCCCGAGGGCTGGGTCCTGGGACCCCACCCTCCATCCCACCTGAGGCTCCCCTCTGAACAACATACTCACTGAAAATTCACTTTGTCCACTTGGAATCGTGTCTCGAAAATTCCCGATGTCAGCACCCTGCACCTGAGCAGGTCCTGGGAGCAAGGAGAGAGAAGCCAGCTCAGCCCTGCCCTGCTGTAACCATGGTGACTGACACTTTCAAAGGACAACTTCGACTGTAAAAAAGCAGTAATAGCTAAAGACTCAGATGAATGCTTGTCTTATCCTCCAGGGAAAATCTACAGTGAATGTATAGATTTGGTCCCAAAGACTTGAGAACTGTGCTTTTCTTTTCTGTTTTGTTTTTGTTTTTGGTACTGGGGATTGAACTCAGGGGCACTCGACCACTGAGCCACATCCCAGCCCTATTTTGTATTTTATTTAGAGACAGGGTCTCACTGAGTTGCTTAGCGCCTCGCTTTCACTGAGGCTGGCTTTGAACTTGCCATCCTCCTGCCTCAGCCTCCTCTTTTTTCAAAAAACGTTCCCTGTGAACATCTTGCGACTGCTTTGCCCCTGACAACTGAGTCACAGCGCTCGCCTCTGGGGAGAGCACCTCTGCTCCTGTTCAGCTCTGGGTGAAGAATACTTCGGAGAGAAAGTAACTCTGCATTCACAAACCAGGGGCCATAAGACTAGAATCGATTATAAATTTGCTCCCTTCCTTGAATATCTATTCTCTAAGATCTAAGATGACATGGTCCTCAGGGGTTGGAAAGCCAGGGGGTTTCACTAAGGGGATGTCTCTGCTTCTCAGGCCACCTCAGGGTCTTCTCTTAAGCTCCACCTTTGTGATGTTGATGAAGCGGTCACTGTGCTGCCATTCTGGACCGAGAGAGGTGGTCCTGCCATTTTACACAAGGAGGAGTGTTTAGGACAGGCCTAAGGGATCCGCCTGAGGCTAGGAAGCCCAGAAGGCTGTCAGATCATTTTAAGCTGTTGGAATTGGCTTCAGAGAGAGAGGGACCTTAAGGGAGAGAGAGGACCTCAGGCTTCCAGGGAGGGGAGAGGAGGGAGCCTCCAGGGGCCCAAGGCTCAGGGCCCTGGGATGCAGCTCTGGGGGGCCTGAATGGAGCCCCTCTTATCCTCTGGAAGGCCTGGTGGCTGTGGAAGTGAGCCACCTGGGCACCCGTCTCTGCACATGCCTGAGGCCTCTGTGTGCCTACAGACGTGCCCAAGTTTGCTCAATCCAAGGGAGACCGTCGGGCACACCTGCAGTGTCCTATGGGACCCCGCTGGACCCAAAGCAGAGAGCCCCCGTCCACAAAGGGGAGTTGAAGCCTGGCTTTCCTGCTGCCTGGGCTTCTTTCCAGGCCCGGGAGCAGGGGCTCAGGCTTGGTGACGGGCTGAGGACACTGGCATGCACAGTGAGCACGCAGGAGGCATCTGAAAGATTTTTTTCTTAACCTGTTTTAAAACGGTCACTGAGTCTCTGGGAAGTTGGCTGCAGGCTTGCACAGGGTGCTGCTTGCCTACCTGGTCAGTGGGAGTGTAGTCCACCAGGCTGACACTGTCGATTCTCTCCAAGAAGCTGCAAGAAAAGCCATGTACGCTCAGCGGCAGGTTCTGATGCCTGTCCCCTGGGTTGGGGACGCATGGTCAGTGCAGAACAAAGTGAAAAACCAGCCTCTACCTCAGAGCAAAGCCTGTCCAAGGAAGGGACATGACCTTTGTCCTTGGAAAGACCCACAGAGCACTCCTAGGCACATTCCCACCCTGCTAAGTTGTTTATCTACAAATAACAGGAGAGATCTGCTGCACCAGGTGTCTCTGACTCAGTCAGGCTAGGTGGGGATCCATAGCAACCCCCTAGCAGCCACCAATCAGCATGAGACAGGGAAATACCTGGGATGCCAGATGACCCTCCCAGTGGTTTATGGTGGTTGGTAACAAGTTGGGAAACCATGTAGTTCAGCACGTACACCCCTCTTGGCTCAAACCAATCAGTTCAAACGAATACCACTTTTGTACTGACCAATCACCCTTACCCAACTTGTTCCCGCCAGTGAATGTGCTAATCATGTTTTAGAGTTGTTATTTGATTTTCCCGCGGTGTGTGATGATTTGCTAAGAGATGCTATGATGTATGTGGGGGGTCCCTGCCTTCTCCAAAGAGTGTATAAAACTGCTGCAAACCCTGGGCTGGGGCCTCTCAGCGTCACCAGTTGCTGTGTGCACGCAGAGGACAGAGCTAGCTCGCAATAAACACCTCTTTGCTGCTTACATTGATCTTGGGTCTCTGGTGGTCTTTTGGGGGTCCCGAATTCGAGCATAACAAAAGCACACGAGGACGAGGGCGGGCTGAGAGCTGAGGTCACCGTCCACCTTCCTTCCTGAATGCATCCGACTCGATAATGCTACTGTCCTGATGAAGAGCAAAGGCCTGATTCTGGTGTGTGTGTGTGTGTGTGTGTGTGTGTGTGTGTGCGCGCGCGTGCGCGTCTTGGGGATCGAACCTGGCTTCCCACAGGCAGGGGCAAGCACTCTGCCCCTGAGCTAAAATTCTTGAAATTTTGAGAAAGGTCTTCCTAAATTGCTGAGGCTGACCTTGAACTTTCGGTCCTCCCACTTCAGCCTCCCGAACAGCTGCGATTACAGGTGTGCACCACCATGCCTGTCTTTTCTCTTTCTTCATTTTAACCTCTACCTTCCCTCTTTCTTCTTCCCCAGTCCTACAGGGTTGGGGAAAGGGCCAACTTGGAAAATGAGGAAATGGGGGGCCTCCTTTCCAAAGAGAAGACAGTAGAAGGCATTGTGATGTAAATAAAACATGGAAGTTGAGAGATGACCAAAGCCGTGTGTGGGAGTGGAGTTAAATTGTGCCTGTAGAGACACTGCAGAGCTAGGATCCAGGTGACAGGGCAGTGAGAAGCTGGTGGCCTCTTGGGAATGGGTAGTGTGGATCCTTGTAGCTGCCACTGCCTCCCTGGCTGGAGGAGGGAGGGTCTGCCCCAGTTGAGGCAGGTTTGAGAACAAGAGAGGAGGTTGGCTCAGTGGCGCTGGCCTCCAAGGTGGCCGTGGTAGAAAGCACGAGGGCAGGACGCCCCGAGTCCCGCCCCCCCTACCAGGAGGGAACGTGAACAGAATCTGCAAGTGGGAGAAGTCCCTGCCCGTGGTGGGCGCTCAGGCCTGGGGCTGACAGCTGGCTGCTCCCCAGGCCCCCGTGCTGTCAGCATTGACCCAGACTGGCCCTACTGACATGATACTGGCACCTGGTGCTGAGCACTCCAGGCAGACTCGAATCAGCTCCCTGGAGAAGGGAGCAAGGCCGAAATTAAACCTGGCACCCAGGATGCAGGGTGTAGGAAGCAATTGACTTAAAATGGATGCACTGGGGCGGAGGCACCCGGAGAATGTATTCAGATGGTAATAACCTGTATGAGCAGAAACAGTGAAAGAAGCTGACAAAAAGCACACCTGAGGTTCTGGAGGAACGCAATTAAACACTGCCTTCCAGAGGAAGTGGTGGGAGAACCGTGTTGAGCCACTGTCCCGAGATGCTGGTGGGTCTCCCCCCACCTCCAGGGCAGGCATTGCGCTGCCTCCAGCTCGGCTGCCTGGCCCAGGTCCAGGGCTGCCACACTGGGGGCTCCTGAGGTTACATACAGAGGTGAGCTACAAAGGGGACTTGTAGTCACATAGTCTTGCACATGACCACATTTGAAAGGGTTATAACATTGTCTCCTTAAAAATGCCACTGCAACCTATGAAGAAAAATTAAGGAAATCTAAGAATTCCCCTTGCAAACCTTTGACTACATACTACATACAGAGCTTCAAAACATCATTAAACTGTGAAAAGTCACTTCTGCAGGAATGGAGGTGCACACGTGCAGTCCAGCAGCTCAGGAGGCTGGGGCAGGAGGATTGCAAGATGGAGGCCAGCCTGTGAAACTTAGTGAGACCCCGTCTCACAATAAAGAAAAAAGCTGTGTGTGGAGCTCAGTGGTAGAGGACCCCTGAGTTCAATCTTCAGTAACCACACCCTCCCCCCAAAAGTCACCTGTATTGTTGAGAATGTAGACAATGTACCTTTTTCTCCTTTTCCCTTTGAAACCTCAGATTACATCCCCATGGAACTCTCTCCACCTGGCACCGAGGCATGCTCTGTTTAGCAGAGTGCACGGTCTTTCATTGTGATTCACCCCCTTCTTAGAAGTGGCGATAGGAGACACATGAAGCATGTGAGCTACACTCATCTTTTTTTTTTCCCTTTAAAGACACAAAACGCAAAACCAAACCAAACCAAACCAAAAATTGCAAAACATTCCTATATTGTCCAGGCTGGTATAGAACTCCCAGGCTCAAGTGATCCCCCTGCCTCAGCCTCCAGAATAGCTGGGGTTACTGGTTTGTGCCACTGCCCACCTTGCACCAATCTTTAAAAAAAAAAAAAAAAAAAAAAAAATATATATATATATATATATATATATATATATATATATATATATTTAGTTGTAGATGGATACAATACCTTTATTTTATTTGTTTATTTTTTATGTGGTGCCAGGGATCACACCCAGTGCCTCGTGCAGGCACGATAAGTGCTCTACCACTGAGCCCCAGCCCCCCTACACCAATCTTAAGTGTTCAGTTTGATCTTTTTCACACCCATGTCCATATTTCCTTTTATGTGCATGTCTCATCTAGTATTAGTGATGCTTAAGGGCAGACACTAAGTTTTTTAATCTCTAGAGAGAAGTGTCATGTAGCTGGTGCCTGATACATTTTGGTCTGGTCTTTCACCATGTCCCATCATTCTGAATAAACACCGCTGACCTGTTTGTCCTGACACTGTTCTGGTAAGAGACAGACTGCCAGCCCCAAGGAGCAGGGACAAACATTTCCATCTGGACCAGTGCCGTGAAGGGCAAGACACAGGGCTTCCGGCACCCACACCCGGGGCTCTGCCTGTGCTCACCATGGCTGTTCCCTGCATCCACTGTTGCCATCAGGGAGCTCCCGGCACTGTCAAGAGAGCGCCCCAGGGAGGCACACTTGCCCTGGTGCACCAGGAGCTCACGGTATCAGGTGCCAGGCCAGAGCAGACCCTGTGTGGTCCTGCTTCCCATGGAATGACATCTAGCTGTGCAAAGGTGGATTTCGGGAAACCAGGCAGGCATTTGCTAATGGATTAAAATCAGTTAGTTGTTTACAAACATTACAGAGGGCTGTTCATCAGTTTGTTCAACGTCCCTGGCTTGTAACTTTTGTTAATAGTACTAAAGATTCGAACTTGGGTTTTGGCTACAGAAACACCCTCCAGGTGGTGCTTGTGTACTGCAGATGAACGGAACCCCTCACTTTCAGCTCTTAGTGGGACGAACTGACCCTGGTACCACGGGCAGTAAACAAGACTGTCAAATGGACAGTGTGCAGGCCTGTGGTAGGTCCTGTTGAAAGGCACACAGGGTGGCCTGAGGCTTGCTCTGTTGGGAAAATAGTTTTAGTTAGAAAGGTCTTGGCAGACACATCTGAGTTGCTGTATTCAAATAAATCAAAATTGGAGAAAAGTTAAGTTTGTGTACCTGTTTACCTCTATGTCTCTCCTCATTCTTTTTTTTAGGAAATTGAATCCAGGGGTGCTTTACCACCAAGCTACGTTCACAGCCCTTCTTATTTATTTTTGAAACAGGTGCTGCTAAGTTGCCAGGCTGGTCTTGACTCAGCACCAGCCTCCAGAGTTGCTGGGGTTACAGGTGTGGCCACCACACCTGGCTTTCCTCAATAATTCAAACCTCAGGTTAGAAACTTCATTTGAAAGCAAGAAAATAAGACTAAAAGTAATGTTAGTAGTTGCACGAACTGCTTTCCCTGGTGTGTTTAAATTGGACCCAGTCATAGGCTACTTGTCTTTGGTCTAGAGACATTTCAACAGAAGATCTTGTTGCCAGGAGGAGACAATTACTGTAAAGAAGGGATAGACAAGGCTCCGAGAAACGTGCAAGATAATGCCATGTTGACCACACAGGAGCTCAGGTGGGAAGATGGGGTGAGGAGCTCAGGTGGGAAGACCAGGTTGGGGGTCGGGGGGGTCGGGTCTGGACAAACACCAGGCTTTCTGAGCCAAATCTACCTCTGGATTCTTTTTCTTTCTTTCTTTTTTTCGTGGTGCTGGGGACTGAATGCATGCTAAGCACAGCCCTACTCTGAGCTACATCCCAGCACATAAGCAACTTTTTAAATAGGACCCATACTCATATGCAATAACATGCAGTTTAAAACAATTTATTTAACAAAATTTCTGTGATTTACATCTTATCATTGCATCAACTCCAAAAGTGAGGAAATAATTCATGGGCCTGTAGTGGTGCTTTTGAAAATAATATTTGATTCATAAAAAATGTACATTCATATAGTATGAAATGAACATATTTTAAGAAAGTTCAAGCATATACAAGAATTGTTTAATCTCACAAAATATATTTTAATGGGAATATCTGCACTACAAAAGTGTCTTCAACATACCAAAGAATTCAACACTAAGCTATTTTTTGAGTTCTAATTATAATTTTCCAGTCCAAAGAGGGTT